GCTGTGAATTAAGATGGGATTTGAAACAGCCACCAAGCCAAAAATACTCCCAGCAAGCCTTATTTCCACTTGTTAAATTCCTCCCTCCAAGGATGAGCCTTTTTATGTGTCACAAAAAGCTTTTTTCAAGTGAACAAGGAAAACACGTTGGATATAGTATGGGAACCAACAGCTCAGACAATTCCAGCACCTCCAGTAGCAGGAAGGCACCGAGTACCCTACAGAAAACAGGAGCTTCAATCTTGAAATCCTATGAATTGTCAGTCAAACAGCAAGAACCAAGCTCATACCCTCCCCAGTAAAGACCTCACAGCTCCTGAGGTGTCCATGGGACAAACCGCAGGGCAGAAGCCAAGGAACATCTTTTTTTTCAAGCAGAATTCTTTGTGTTAGCAGAAAGTGTTTTTTCTCTTTTCTAATAGCCAAACAGCTTGATGCAAAAATCAAAGCACTTCCATTAATCAGATACATGAAAAACAGGGATAATGCAGAACAGAAAAGCTCTGGAACATGGTCTAAGTCAAGCCACGAGGATGGGTGAAGAATGATGAGTGAGTTGAGGAGAATGAATGGAAAATAGTGCTGACAGGGCAGTTGAAAAGAGAAACAAACCACAAAAAGATTTTTGGAACAAAGAACTGGAAAACAAAAGCAAAAGGGAAGCAATGGGCAGGAACCACAATGGGGAAAAAATACGGAAGAGTAGCGACAACAGGAGAAGGAAATAAAAGGAGCATCATGTAAAACTGAAAAGACACGTAGAACAAAAGCAAATCCCCCAGTCCCTTACTTTGAATGAAACTATGGTCATTAACAGGGTTAATTAACTAAATACACACTTATCTGCCATCCTTAGAGAAGCACTGACTTTGAAAATGCGTAGCAAACTTCAATTACCTATCAGCTGTCAGGGAAGCTTTTAATGCAGAAAACTGAGATGCCTTTTGGTCTTCATTTAAGAGGGTGACAGCCATCTTCAGCTGGCCGATTTTTAAAGAATAGCTCAGAGAGCCCCAGTTCAGAATGTTAACCACTGTTTTCTGCCAGGCAGACTTTGGGACCGAAACTTGAAGAGAAACAACGCTGTAAGCAGCTGGAGTTTGTTTTCATAGTGTAACTGATTTTCCTATTGCTGGAGCACACACAGCTCTTCCTGCAGGTCTCCGCTGGCAAATGCTAATTTTGAATTATCAGTGCCTTGGTCCCACCACAGAAAACAAGTACAATGATACCTGTATTCTGCAGGATTCGTGGATGATCAGATTCAAGAGGCTAACTTGACTCAGAACATTGGATCAGCAGTCTTGCAAAGAGTTGGCTTGACTAGACCGTGACCCTTTAATCTAGACAAACCTTAGGTAGAGCAAGAGAAAGAATTCACACCTTGGAGATGCTGCTCTTGCTACAGCCAAAGCAGCTGTTAACAGGCCTTTCTGAAGAGCTGGGCTACCGATCGATGGCAGTAAAAGCAAATACTGTTAGCACGGATGTGAAAAGGAAAGCTCGGAGAAGAGACAGCCCTACTGAGGCAACTCAGGGAGGGAATTTAAACCATATGCAGCAGCTACATGTTAGAGTGCTTGCAAACACAACGGCAGCTCTGAGCAGAGAGGAGCACCTCACAGCTCCTGCTGCGCTGGGTGGACAACACAGTGTTACATGGATGATGCACCCATCCATCGCAGAACAGACCCCCCCTGGGGTGATGTACCCATCACAGGATAGACCCCCATGTGCAGCTGGTGCTGCTGTGGGTTCCTGGCCCTTCTCCTCGCCCCGGCCCCCCGCTCCCCCCACACCTCCCTTACCTCACAGGGCCTCCTGCCAGGCTGAGGTCCTTCTGCTGTGCCCCCCGGGCCAAGGCTGCTGGAGCTCTCCCTGATCCCACCTGCCTGGCAATGGAGGACAGTCAGAGCTGGTGGCACTCCTGGGGTTGCACCACCATCCGGAATACCCTCCAGAAGGCAAACTGCCCTGCCTTGGCACCCCTAGTTGAGGCTATCCCCTTCCATAACACCCACCCAAAACTAAGCCTCCCCCCAC